CATTTTAAATTATTCAGCACATGCTGCCAGGTTAAAGGAGATGGATAATATCAGATCTTCCAATTAGACTAGCTTTCACCACTTTTGTCCAACAAAGATATTTTGAAATACTATCAAAAAAGTCTTATGAACTGTATGGACACACTGCTTGGTGCTGATCTTGCTGCTGCCAGTGTGTCTGCAAAAGGATGGGTTTTCCCTCTTATCAAGTTCAATGACAAAATTTGAGGTATTAAATTCCTCTGACGTAGAAGCATTAAACTAGACAGGAAAAAAAAATAAAAAATATCTGTTTTTCTCAGCTCTCCCAAAGGCTTTCTTCAAAGAGGGATCCATATCACTAGTAAAATCTCCTTGAAAGGGCACTGTCAAGATATCTGCAATAATTTTAAAACTCATTTGTTACTCGTTGTTTATAATCTCTTCAAAGCAAGAAACTAAAATCTGTTTCCTTTAGTACTACATCTCCTCCATCAGGCACAACATGCCAAGGAAAATGCTTTTCCAACATAGCATGTACTCACAGAGCATGAAGATGATTTTTTTAGATTTGCTATATTACCAACATATGTGGTTTGGAGCTCAGTTGTTTACCATAGCACAAAAGATATTAACTGGTAGGATGATAGATGCAATAATGAATGGAACACCACAGTGCAACATGCTATAGAAAAGTCTTAATTAATAGGCTAGGTAACAAGGAATCAAGAAGAATGGTGAAATACGATAGAACATGGCAACAGCAAAAAGATATGCACGTTTAAAAACAAATCACACAAGAATCTTGAGAAAATATCAATATGTACCATGGGACATTTGATCCTTTTGGGGTTATGATTGTACCTGACTGTACCTGTACTCAGGAGTGCTTCTTACAGGACAGCCTTGCATTCAGTCTTTTAAAAACAAAAGATGAGGAGGGGCTCTACATCCCACAAAAGAGAGGCAGCAATAAAAATCACATTATAAGCTGGAGGGGTAAAAGCTCCAACAAGTGAACGATGCAGACTGCCTTCACATGAGCAAAGGAATGATAAGCAGTTTCTTTTTTTTTTTTTTTATTGTTTTCTATTTTGACCATAGGGTTGTAAACTGGCAGAAGCAGGAGGGAGAATCCCCTGTGGAGATTGGCTGCTTTGTTTTTAGCAACTTTCAAATGGAGACACTGCTCGTCTAAGACTGAATTGGGCAATCCAGACAAAATGAAAAAGAGTTTGGATATTTTTTTCCTCCTCTTCCTTAGGTTGAACAAAGCCTTAGATAAGATCAATAGTTTCTTTAGTTTTATGTTTCGTTTCCTTAGGGGTAGTTGGCTTATTGCATTTCCATTGATCATACAGGCAGGGAGATTCAGAGACAAACCATCTCTTTTCTCCTCTCATTTCCGTTCTCCTCCCCATTTGAAATCAAACGACTTTTAAACAAGGCCGGGGTCACTATTCTTTCTCATTTACATATCAATACTATCAAATTCCTGCCTTATCTTTCAGTCACTAAACTATTTTTAAAATGAAGGCTACATTTCAACCCAAGAGAGGACACACACGTTCCTTGGAAAAACTCTGGCAGCATCTTTTCTGGACTCTTTATCAGAAAATCTAGGTTCTGATTTGTTTCAGCCCTTCCTCGACACGTGGTGAGAGGGAGCACACTTACCAGCCTTGTGCAATTAATATTTTAACCTCTTGCAGTCTCTATAAGGCTTTCTTGCTCTTCCTAAATCTTTTGCACATTCCCTATCAGATGTCTCTGTGCAACTCCAAGCACTATATCTGTGCTCAGAGCCAGCAAAGCAGCTACTTGAATGAATTATTTTCATCACTTACAAGCAAGACCAGGTCTGCTGTGTTCTGTTAGAAGTTTGACCACTGATTCTCTGGACAATGCTGGACTCGGAAGACTCTGCTGCATTTAATGAGATGTTTTAAACCCTAGCTGCTGTTTGTACTGTACTTCAAGGTATAAAAGTATCAAAAGCATAAGAGCATGCTTGCCCAGGGGAAATTCTGGATATAACCCTACAGGGAGATCAATCACATGAAACTGAGAAACTGATTCTATTCACAATTAAACACAAATCTGCTAATCCAAATATCAGAAAGCTCTAAATATAGGATGCTGACATCTCCTGTCTGAGCATTAGTCTCAGTCTACTCTTTACACACACACACACTAATGTGAGGGTTCAAGAGTGGGTCTGTTTAGCCTAGAGAAGACTGAGAGGGGACCTTATTAATGTTTACAAATATCTAAAGGGCAGGTGTCAAGAGGATGGGGCCAGACTCTTTTCAGTGGTGGCGAGCAATAGGACAAGGGGCAATGGGAAGAAGCTGGAACACAGGCGGTTCCGCTTAAACATGAGGAAAAACTTCTTTACTGTGTGGGTGACAGAGCCCTGGGACAGGCTGCCCAGAGAGGGTGTGGAGTCTCCTTCTCTGGAGATGTTCAAAACCCGCCTGGATGCAGTCCTGTGCAACTTGCTCTAGGTGAACCTGCTCTCACAGGGGGTTGGACTAGATGATCTCCAGAAGTCCCTTCCAACCCCTACCATTCTGTGATTCTGTAAGTGAAGAGCTAGGGTTGAAGTCTCTAGAAAAATGTGACCTCTTATGTCATTAATTTCCCATTTACAAGAATAATTTCTGGGTTTCCAAATATTAATGAAATAGTTTTGGCTGGATAGACGGAAGCTGAGTATTAAATGGTAGCATGCAACAAAATCTTCAGGTCAGCCCGTGAAGTCCATACCCTAAACAATCCACTTGTAAGAACAAGCAAACAAGCAAGAACCAACTCTAAAAGACTGCTAAAAGGAAGAGAAAATAGTCTATTAATATCAATTATTTGAAAGAGATAGTTTATATATTTATATGCAGCTCTAGTATTAATGTCAATACAAAAAATTATATTCTACTTTGTTACTAAAAAGTTAGGTAATTGGTGTACTTGGAAAAAAACGAGGGGAAATACTTTAAATCTGCCTGAATCAGAGAAACTGCAAAAAGTGTTTGTATTATCCTTATGATGAAGAATTGGTGCAGAAATGCCCCCTCCCAGGAATATTTATGTATCCTCCATCTTTGTGATAAATGATAATCCTAAACAAAGGAAAACATGTATTAAAAAATTAAAAAGGATATGCGACCTTATAAAAACAACCCAATGATCTAACTGGGACTCAGCTTCTAAGGGTGTTCAGAATGGAAATTTCAGAACTGCTTTTATGGACCATGAGAACATTGGATTCTGTCACCAGTCACAAGCCCTCATATGCCACCTTGTTCTTGTCCTCAGTGGCTGCCTGTAGACCTGATCAACGATGAAAAAGAGGGCAAGAAACAAGGTAGAAAGTAATTTCACATAGTTTAAAGGATTTATTTAAAAAAAAAAAAAAGGAAAAAAAAAAAAAAAAGGAAAAAAAAAAAAAAAGGAAAGAATCCTGAACCATCTACATTAGGTTCTTTTGCTTATTTTTGATGCTCCTGCTATATAATACAGGGCCCCTGGAGATGACATAGTCCTTAAATGTAAAATCTGAATCTTCTCTTTCTACTATTCTAAGCATCTAATGGTACAAGTTAAGTAAATTTGGGTTAAAAACCTCCAAAATGCTGAAGGATAAGGAGAACAAATCATTAGATATTGATATAATCTGATGTGTCACTGGTTTTAGGTCTTACTGTGGTTATCTAGGAAATCAGTGAAAACCTCCTCTATGGAAATCACTAGTTTTGTCATTGACTTTAGTCAAGGTAGATTTTCCCCCACTGTCTAAAAAAAAGATTCAAAACCACTGTCTTGACCTGTCATGCCTATTAAAAAATCATTAGCACTTCTCAGGAGTAGGGAGTGTTAGATGTAATGCCCAGGGCAATTATATTCTCTTTCTTTAAACTGTCAGCTGTTTTTTTCTTCTGCCTTTCCTGTCTTGGAATTGATATGTGTGCATAGTAGAGCATGGTTAAAACAGTAGCTGAGTACTTCCTGGCTACATTCTACAGAGAGGTAAAAGGATTAGTATAGAGCTTCCAAAGATAATCATGTGAATGTCTTATTAATTAATTGTTATTTGTAATAATGGCTCTTTCCTTAAGGGTCTTTTAGGATCTTTAACTGCTTATTAATGCTGTATAGATAAGGATTGCTCCCTAGTGGGAGAAATGAGGTGAAATATGGAAGTCTTTCAATGAAAGCAACAGGTTTGGGAAAGGAACAAGAGAAATAATTCACCATTTGAGTGAATGAAGAATTATGATCACTCAAATGCAACTACCATAGTTCATCCTGTGTACTTAAAAAGTGCCAGGAGATCTACTCATAGACTGATGTCTCTGATGCACTCAGTGTGAGTATAGCCTTTTCTACTGTACCTGGAACCTCATTTGATATGAAATTCAGGTCTGTCTAGATCATGGTCACAGGCATACCTTGAGCTCATGGACAAGGTGAGCTGTCAACACTAGCCTTAGTTTAGCTACCTGTGGCTGTCAGTAACAGGCAGCTCCAAATGCAGGATTCTCAGTGCAGGCTCTTAAATTTAGCCAGGTGAATGCTCAGGTAGCTAGCCTGTACCAAAGATCTTGGTGCCATTAGTATTCAAGTTAATTACCTTAGAACTAGGCTCAAAGATGTCCATACAACCTGCCAACACATTTTTCACAACACTGTGAATGTTCTTATAAGGATAAGTGCCCTGTGTCATCTCAGAAACACTCCTTTCTTCCACTCAATGTTTTTGGCTCCAGACTGAAATTTTATTTCACTGTTGAATGAAACCTCAGAGCAAGTGCTCTACTTTTCTGGCATGGAAGGTAAAAGAATGAGGGATAATGGAAAGATTCCACTGAGGAGAAACTCAGAAGCATGGATACATAGGTGTGGAGAAAGCAGACAATGCTAAACATCAAGACAATGACTATCTCCTCTGTTTTACTTTTCCAAGCTCATGAGATGTGCATTAGTATGAGGGTGGCACAGAGTTCTCTGAAAGATTTACTCACTTTGTAGAGTCCATGGCTGCAGCCGCAGTAAGTGCTCTCCATGGTGTAGCTCCTCAACACACCCATTTCCTTCCATACCACCACCCGGGCAGTTGACTCCCGGGATTTCTCCACCAAGAAGCTGCAGCTGTTCATGACAAATGCAGGGGCAACTTTATCCAGGATTTTAGGAAGAGTCTATGAGAAAATATTAGCGCAATAACAAAATTAATTAAACAGACACATATGTTTATACCATACATACACACCTGTGTTTTTTAGTGTGTATATAATCAAATCTATCTGTAGGCACTGTTACTGAGAGCTCCAACCACTGCATTATGCTCATCCCATGTGAAATCCTTGAATTCTAACATTTGTTTCATTCTAAAGACTAAAATGCAAAATATCCAATATACTTGATATATCTCATTCAAAATCAAAAATTTTCACACCCAATAGTTTGGGACTTCTGAAGTCACTTGAGTTTTGTTTTGAAGTTGCTTCAGCATTAACCTACATCTTTCTGTTGTGCTGTAGTTCAGTACCTAACATTCCCATTTTTCCCTCTCCAGCTGTACTATATTTCCTCCCATCATGCATCCACAATTTGACAAGGGATTCAGCTACAGGAAGAGTCTTGTATGAACCCAGCATAGAACAGAGAAAGTAGATGTGTATTCTCATGAAAGGTCACATATAATTATATAAACATAGAGCTCAACATTTAACTTGCTTGCATTGTGAAACAAACCAAAAGATTCTCTCACCTGAGACGAAACTTTATATTGTATACACTTCATTTAGAGAATCACAATAAAAAGTAATCATGAAAACCCAGTAAAAATTACATCTTGGCTCTGATTTTCTTATTCTAGGAATCATATTTCACAACAAAGTTTATAAATATTCCAGATACATTGCAGTATCAAACATTTGCATCAGTGCAGAGGCAACAATTATTTAGTGATTATTCAGTGCTAAATGTGTTACTTTCACACTCTACAAAACATACACTAGATACATTAACACTAGGTGTGTTCTATATAGAAACTGGACCTTTATGTACACACACACATGCACATGTGCACGTGTGTGTGTCTAAATTTTAGTGCTGGTATACTAACCACAACACATGTCAAGAGACCATTGGATCCATCTAGAGAAGAGCAAGCAAAATGAGGAGATTCATTATTTCTTTGACAACAGCTTTCTTAAATATCTGAACTGCATGGAACCATATAGAAGTTCCTGCTTATTGCTAAATGACATTTTCCCTTGAATTCCATTTAGTTTGGGCAGTGAAAGCCAACCAGCTAATTTCACTTTCCAATAACAATCGGTTTAACTGACTGATTCTGAGCAACTGTAGTTCCATTCTGTTAAGCTTTACTTCATAGCACTGCAAGGGAATATTTGGTTTCATTGAAAGTAAAAGAATAACTTATGATGTTTGATGTGAATGATAAATCTCTGGCCTAAACAATTTCAGAATATCTCCTTCAAACAGCCTAACCATAAACATCTTCATAACAAAAAACCTAAATTTAATATTTCAGTATATTCTGGCTACAGCTGTCAATGGACTTTACCAGTTCTATAACATATAAATGTAGAGATCTGTAAGGTCCATTTTTCAGATTAAAAGACTGAGGTGGGGAAAACTGAAACAAAGCAAGAGATTCTATTTTAAATCTGAGACCACTGTGAGACTCAATCTTAAGATCTCCAGTGTGCTACTAAGAGCTACAGCATTTCCTTTGCTGTGGGCATACCTAACAGTGGAACCTTTAAAACTGACTGCTTGCTTGCTATGAAGCATCCAGCATTTCTAGATGGCCTTCAATGTGCTACTTTCTGCATGGGGATCACAAAACAATATGCTTTCATGAAGTGTTTCCAGGTTCTCCTGGATTTGGGTTGAACAGGAATTAAAAACATGCAGCAGAGACATATCACCCAGAGGTTTATAGGCCTCAGCACTACCATGAGTTCCAGTTAAACTGTATGTGAAGGTTCAGATAGTTTTCATTCTGCCCTTATCTGAACCAACACACAGATTTTTTTTTTTGTGTAAATATATACAATCAAATACAATAATCAGATCCCTAATCCAGTTTATCTTTTTAAAACAACTGAAATTATATGCATAATCAATCTCTTACATTTAATTAAATAAAAATGCTGGCAGGTAACAGTAATGTCTCTGTACACAGGACTCATTTAGGAACATTAGCAAATCTGAATTTAATATTCTTTTCATTTTACCAGCATTCACTGGATTTCACACTAATGGTTCTTTCTTCTCTACTTATTCTTCTCATTAATTATCTTTCAATAGTATATTTTGAAAGAGTGAAAACACACCCTTTTAAAGGATGCTTTTATGCTAATGCAGCAGTGCAACTGTTCCCTTTCTCACACACAGCTGGATTTAGCTGTGAAAGGAACCTGTTCACAAAGGACCCTGTCCACAAACCCTGAATCCTATGAGGAGAGGATGGAATTATATTCCTTTACTGATGTCCCTGCAGAGATTGCTGCCAAAGGGGCCTGGGAATGGCTATCAAAAGGACAAATCTTCAAGCTGGGCTTTGCAATACCAGTGCTGCACAACTCACTCGAGGCCATCAAATATTAGAAGGTAGTGAAGACGCTTATTCCTGTATATTGCCAAAGGCTACAGCTGAGTCTACGACCTATGAGGCAAAGGCTGTTCCAAAAAACATTTTCTTGAGGCATTCGGTTCCTGCTCCTGGGGAGAAAAATCAATCATGGAAGCTAGATTAATCCCCAATTATCTACAGGGGGCAGCAGAGAAACTTGTGCAAATTGTGCAAAGAAGTATCTCCGAGATATTAGTGATGATCTGCTGCAGTTTGCAATTGCAGATATGTTCTATATATTCTGCTTCTTCAGTCTAAGAAGGAAGAGGAACTGCAGCAACACCCATTTCCCATTTTGTGCAAAGGAGATAATTTGGAACACAAAATCTTTCTTACAGGCCACTGCAGAGTATTCTTGGACAGCCTTGGAGCCTTTCTTCATTGCAGATTCAAGAGAGGCTCCAGATGCTGACAGCAGCATTTGAATTCCGTTTGTGTAACAATGAACCAACCTCAGCCTTTTCAAGCCCTCTGAATTCAAACACGGCAAAAGATGTCCTGACTGTAAGAACTCTCCTTGCTTTCTTTGTGAAACAGTGTTTGCCACAGGGATCCCCCACGATGAACATTGGAGCACTTTCTTCCAGTAAAGTTCCAGTATGCCGTGTAAAATGCCATAAAATGAACATGGAAGATGTGGCATCCTTATTGGAGGTTAAATAGTATTTGTGCTGAAGTAGTGATAATTATATAGAGGTGCAATCTAAAAAAGAGTTTTCAACCTCTTTCAGGTTGGAGTGAACCAAACTATACCTCTATAATTAGTTTAAGACCTCAATTCATGTTTTGTGAAAATAACAGTTTTAAGACTATAATTAGAGTTTACAAGACTTTTTTTTTTTTTTTTTTTTTTTTTGCACAGAAATTTTTCATTTAAGAGGAAAATATCATCTAAACAGACACCAAAAAAAAAGGAAAAAAAAAATAAGAGATGGGCAGGCAATCCAGAGAACAGTTTGATGAATGAGACATTCACAAGAAGTAGAAATAAAACAGATTCTAGTATTAGTTCCTTCTAATTCCAGGAATGTTTCCCCAGCTATGACATGAAGCACTTGCTGTGGAGATAACACCACTACATTAGATCTGTTTGACATCTGTTAAATTCTCCAGTGTTTTCAGTGGGACTAGGAACATTTTGTGATGAAACAATTCAAGTAAGACAGTAGCACATTGTCATTTTCTCAGTTACCATTACGTAATTCCTATTTATTTTCTTATTATTGTTGGGTGAGGAGATAAAAGTGTATGTATACTTAGAAAGTATAAAACACATAAAAAATGTGGCTCTCCTATTAGTCTGTAGCCAAAGATTGTAACATAGCATCTTAGTATTATTAAATAAATAAGGACCCATCTACTAACAATATTCTTGCTAATATCTGGTGCATGAAGATGTTATGCATGATTCAAAACTCTAAACAATTGCTTCTCCAGATTAAGGGAAGCTTGCACCTATCTCCAAACTTTGTGAGCTGGCCTTATCTTAACTAGCTGTGTAGATGCACATGCACACCAGTAATTGCAGAAAGAACAAATTGGACCTACCCTGTAGCCAACATCTTCTGTGATAACTGCTGTGTCAACCATACAGCCTGCTTGCCACAAGGTCTCCTTGATGCTGCAGCCATAAAGAAAAACGTTCTTTTTCTGTGAGTGTCCATGGTAGTCACAGAATACCTTGGGGTAACAGGGGGGATGGAGGGAGAAAAGGAGAAATCTTGAACATTGAAAAAGGAAACGTTTCCTGATTATTCATAGTAAGTACTATAGGATTAGAGCAGTGAGGGAGTTCATGGTTTTTTCAGGTCTTTTCAGAGGAGCTTTGACTGTGCCATGCCTATAGCCTGTGTCAAACTCTGTTAGTCAGTCGTATCTTGCTTTATCTATTCAATCTGACATGATCTCAGGGATCCAGAGTCAAGACTGGTGCATTCCTGTCTGCAGCAGAAATAAACATGACACCTGTACAAGAATCCATGGCAACTCGGGAACTTAAGGGTTCACAGTAACTTATTCATGGTAACAACAGATCAATTTGTCAGGCTCTTTCTACTTCTAAACTCCTAAACTCTAGCTTTATCCTCATGAGATTTGAAATTTGTACTCCCCCAAGTAATTAATAATCACTTTGGTTTCTTTAAATTCAAAACCTTTGCTACATAATTTCCAGGAAAATATAATTGTGCAACCATATTGCACGATACTGTCAGATCTTTGCATGAATTTCTAGAAGCCAAGCACAGAACATGACCTATCTTCATGGCAAATAATCTCTTTTCACACTGTCTAATCTATCTATCTATCTATCTAATCCATCTCTCTTATGTCATCTGTCATATAAACTAGGCACAAGGCACATTCCCAGTTTTAGCGGAATTTTTGATTGTTTTTATAGGCAGATATTGACTCCTATAGAAATGAAAATCATGATTTAATGACCCAAGAGGTAAATATTGACCCAAGCCTTAAAGAATAATCAATCTCAGTGCCCTCTGAGATATGAAGTCGATATACAGTCTGCTGTTACATATATTCTCCATGTCTTTATCAGGAATATTCAGAAATCTGTCAATGAAAAGACAAGAATTTCTAAAGAGAAGGAATTGGTTCATTTTAAACCAATATTCACCACTGAGTAGAAAGGAGCTTCCAGATTTCATTGAAATATTTTTCCAGGGCATATGTTGGAGACAAAAGAATGGGTGTAGGAAGGTAGGGAAGAATTATAGATCAATATAGAGACAGGGGAGAAATATGGGGTGAAAAAAACAAAATGCATATATTCTTACATAAATACATATCCAAGAGGGGAGAAACAGATGGACTAGATGAGTTGCTTCTACCAACTTTTAGGGCAAGATTTACCCTAGCATGTTTATTTACCAGCTATACAGTGACTAAGTTCAGCTGCAGCAAGTCAGGGAGTTTAATTAGCTAGGGATTGAGCATGTACATTCTTTCAGCTCCTCTGACAAACAGCAGGTTGACATACTGGAGGAGCTAAGGCACACATACATAGAGAACCTTCTCATTGCTCCTAATTAGCTGGAGAATTACATATCTCATAGCTTATACACTGACCCATCAACTTTCTTTCCTGCACCACCACTCACCTCCAGCTCTCTTTGCAGGGCTCTGGATCTGCACATCCCTGTCCCTGCGGCACTTTCCACACCTGAAGCACATCAACAGTGACCTACCCATCAACAACTCCTTTACTTAGACAGTTGCAACCTAGCAAAGGCAGAAAGGGGAGGACAAACAGGGTAGAGTTGCTCATTGGTGCAAACCTACAACCAGCATCATTCCCAAAGGAATAAAAAGCCAATATTGCCTAGAGATTCATCCCCTTCAGGCTGTGTGCATATTTTGCAGGGCTCATACAACTCCTGCACTTGAAGTAACTGCGTCTGAACCATATGCAATTATCCTGTAATGCCTCCTCCCAAAAAGCTGCTTTTATTGGTTCTCTTAATGACAGATATTTTTCCAGCTAGTGTCTCATCTAAGCTATCAGCAATACACAGTCATAGTTTAGGTTAACCACAGGTACCACCTAGAATTTATTCCTATGAATATCAAAGAGGATTCTACAGCTTTCCTCTTATTTCAAGGCAGAGAACCCAGCTCAATTTGGTATCAATTACCTGTCAATTTACAGAATTACCAACGCACAGAAGACGCAGTATATTATCTGCCTAAAATACCACTTTACGTATCAGAAACCACACAGCGATGATCAGATAGTCAGATAGCTGGGCTGCCTGATCAGTAACAGGTCTATAATTCTGCACCTCAAGAAACCTGCAGATGAGTCCTTAGTGACAGGTCTGGAATGAGACTTCTGTATTGGTAAATTATTATCAAAGCCAGGTTCTGTAATACAGTTGATGTTTCAGGCCATGAGATCTTTCACTGAGTGTCACCAGCTTCCACAGCAGAAGTGTCAGTACTACTGAAAATACTTTCATTCTATTTGCAAGTTGCATAGAGCTACATTTTAATGACATTTGCTGCATACTGCAGTCACTCCCAATGTTTATACTCAATTGTTCTTTATAATATGTTCTTCGGCCTTATTTTCACACTACAGGGTAGCTTATGTTTCATCATTCAGCCAAGGCTAAGCTATATTTTATAGTTTGAGCACCCAGTAGAGAATTCTTCCTGGGATATGCCTGGGTAAACACTAAGTAAAGTCAGGACCTACCAGTTCTTTTTCTCCAGCCTGTCCTGCTGTATGGCTGGGACACTAATACACACAAACCAGTCACTCTCATATCCCAGACTCACTGGGATATGACTCAAGACACACATGCAAATTTTTATCTATTTAAAATTATTTGCCAGTACTGATCATCCTAAAGGCAAGGACTTCTTTCTAACTCAAAAACAACCCTCCTCCTGAGTCACTGAGCCAGGTGCCTTTTAAAATAAAGGAAACATAAAATAGAAAAGGGAAAGCAAGAAAATGGCTTGGAAAACAGAACATTTCAGAATTCCTTTTATATGTATATATATAAAGTAACTTTTTTTTTTTTTTCTTAATAGCATTGTGACAGGACTTTGAATCTCAGAGTTTTGAGGTAGACATGCCTAGAGTTTTGGGTTTTGTTGGAGTTTTTTTGGGTTTTTTTTTTTTTCATAATGAGCTACATCCTTGCAGGCATAGGCTTTTTTCCAAGCTTGATATGATGCCTTTGGATGGCAGCAAACTCTGCTCAGTGCCTCCTGGTCCCTAGGAAGTTCTTTCTACCCCCTTCAACGTCATCCTGCTCTTCATTGCAGCTCAGACTGTCTGTACAAGCTGCAGGTTCCCTGTTGTGTGCTGCAACTGCATTGTCAACCATGACTTCAAAACCACAGCAGTTTATTGAAACAAATGCTCAAAGAAGAGAGCAACTTCCCTTTGCCCATCAGACCTGCCTGCTCCCAGACAAAAAGGTGTCCAACACTCCCTCTTTTCTATTCTCAGTCAAATGGAGATCTCAGGGTACCTCAGAGGCAGAGGGCTACAATGCCACAGTGCATCCAATCCCTTACCAATTAAAATGGCTTTGATTTGAAAGGCTGTTAACTTTAGTCCTTTCCTTTTCTCCTTCAAGTAGCTTTTCTTTGCTTGAAGAAACTGCTTGCGTATCCCCAGGATAAATGAAACTAAAACACTTCACAGAAATCATTTGGCTCTCAGTGAATTTGGATCCATAGGATCTCGGAGAAAAAAAAAAAAAAAAAGAAAAAAGAAATCCAACTCTCTTCTGGAGGAGGGAAAAGGAATTTTTGAACATGTATAAACTAAAATCAATGTACTCTTCAAAGGTAAAGAAAAATCAGTTTACCAAGTCTGACATGCAGCCTGTGAGTGAAGGAGATGATAGGATCAATAATCTCCCTTCCCTCAGCAATGATGAAAACTTGCACTGAGTACGTGTTCAACTTTATGCACCTGGATATGACAAGGATGGTTGTGTATTAAGAAAGGCCAGACAGCAAATAGCAGGGTAAAATAAGACTGATCCTACGCTGCTCTGAACCAACGGAAAATGTTGGTGAGCAAATTCACAACTGAGAATTGTGTTTCCACAATATTCCTCAAGCTGCAGAGTTAGATTTCGGGGCTCTTGACTTAGCCAAAAAACACATTCCCAAAAGAATTAACTTAAAGAAGCTCACAGACATTTTCATGTCCCATTGTCTAGGGCTTTTCTCATCAAACCTAGAGAGAATTTAGAGTCTTTGGATACTTCCTGCCTGACTAGCTATCAGCAGCCAACCTGCTTGTCTGTGCATCCATATCTGTTCATTAACATTTGAATCTCCCTGTGGTTTTTCTCCTGAGGTCTCAGAACTATCTTTTAATTCTGCTGGGGAACAAGATTGAACAGACCAGATGGATCCCAGCCTTGCCCCAGTTGCAGCTTTGATATAAGACTCATCATTCATAAATTTCTAGTACCCCCCAAAACCAAACATTTTCTTCCCATCACCAAAGCAGCATTAAGTTCAGACATTTTGAGGGCTGCTTCCTGTGTTTTTGTGATTGCCTGGGTTGTTCTGGCATGGGCTTCTGCACAGTCCATTCAGACTAAATCTTTGTGAATTTGTCCCATCATTGCCATGAAGATAGCAATAATCTACTCATAATATTTAGATTAGTTGGAGTACTTCAAAGCTATTAAAGAGCTTTAAGGAATTCATTTTGCTCATTTATATTCCAGGTGTGCAGAGATTCTGCAATTTGGAGTTGTTGTTTATAAGATTAAGTAAGTAATAAATATCCAAGACTTTCAAACACTTCTGTAAGGTAAAAGTGTAACAGCACATGATGTTTTCCAAATCTCTCTAGCTCTAACACAAGACTGTTCACACAACTACAGCGAGCAATCCATATACAGTAACTCACAAAAGATCCTGGAAGAGACTCACCAGAGGAGCTCGGCCAATGCTGCGCAAGTAATAGAGAAGACCTTTGGCATGGTAAATAGTTGGATGGAGCTGGGAACTTGGTGTCAACCACTGTCTGTTGAGATCATCTCCACTCAAGGAACAACGGTGGCTGAAATTGAAAGGCAACACAAAAAACTAGCAAAACAACAGCTGATTAAAAAACATTTTCTGATTCTGGCAAGCTCTGGCACAAGGACAGGGAATGTAAATTAGAGCACAGATATAAAGGTTTCAAACATTGAGCTGGAATGAACCAGTGGTCTGTATTATATTTCAAAGGTGCTTAGACTATATGAATTTTCTAATTTCCTTTCCTTTCAAGGTTCACATAGTTGCAAATTCTGAAAATAAATGCAGTTTTTCCTTTACCTAAGCATATACAACTCAAAAGACTACTTATAAACAAAACATCTTCTGAAATGTCCTAAATTCTGTGCTATCTATGAAATTCAACCAGCTTATGTAGAGCACAAGCTTCTCAAAACCTCCACAGCCAACAAGTACATTCAACTCCTACACATTCGAATTGAAGACAGGCACTTGAATCTCTTTGACCGGTCTGAAAAATGAATGCACTTAAATGAGATGAGCTGGATATCTCATTTAAGTTTCTCCACTCACAAGAAATGCAGTTATCTAAAGCACATCAAGAAGATCTTGATGCATACTACATCATTATGTAGAACAACTACCTAGCTTCACTGCAAAGGCTGAATAAAAAGCTAAATAAGGATCCCAGATTTGCACTGAGAAAACATTTTCCTTAGTTGGCTTGAACACATTCTGTTACCGATTCAGTGATCAGTGGAAGATTGTTCAGGGTACTTGATGGCATAGAGCAGTACATCACTGTACAATTTTGAAAAATCCAACTAATCTCCCTTGTTAGTGACTGTGTATAGATTGGAGCCTCCTCACACTCCTCAAAGGATTTGCTGTAATTTGGTTCACAATTTTCAAATCAGGATGTGCTGATGAAATTCAGGAATCAGCTCTCCAGCATATGAGAGACTGTGGCAGGTCCTCATCATCTCCGTGTTATCCAGTTCAGCACTAGAATGCTTCTGGTGGCATTGTAAACTTCAGCTGGTTTGTGCTTAAAAAACCACCCCCAAAATCCTAAGTATTGGGTAAATTTCTAGCTACGGAGTTGGATCCCGCTTTGCTGTTCCAACCTCCTAGAACAAAATAAAAACATATGTATTTCTGGGGATATGGTCTGTTGTTTATATAGGCAGAGCCTTGCACTGCAGCTAGGGTGTGTTGCATGCAGCATCTTTAGCATTATGGATGCCTTGCAAATGATGCTTGAAGGAAAAGGGTCATAAAGAGAGAATTTTTTTTTTTTTTTAAAGTGCAAACAATGGAGAACCATTGAAGAATGAAAGATAAAGAAATAATAAGAGTCACTAAGAATATTTCTTGTCTCTAACATAGAAAAACAAGGTCTCTGATGCCATCTTGGGGCTTTTGCCAACATCACAAGATCCATTCCCAGTTTCCTCTAGTTTCACTGTTATCTGAATTCCCTTGTTTCCTTATAATCCATAGTTCCCACGTTACTCATTTGGCGATCAGAAAACATTAGCAACAGCTAACACATAGGAAGTCAGCAAATGCAGCTGTGATGCTTCTGCCAAAAATTTTACATGAAAAAATTACGACTTCTGTTATGTTTCTTAAAGGCTTTTTAGATAAAGTTACCTTTAGGTTCACCTCCACTGATCTTCAGAACAACAGCTGTTCAACTGAGATTAGTGGCTGTATTTCTGCCAAGAACTTGTGTGCTTACATGGTTTCCTTTCAATAGGTACAACTCCATTTCAGAAGTCATTGGGTTGCATTTGGAAAGTCATCTTTCCCCAATGTGACTAGTAAAAAAATAAGACCCAAACACTTCCTTGACATAAGCGTGCGATGTCTTCTTGCACCACAGTTGTATCAGGGAGCACAACTAATTGAAAATAACAATGGAATTTACATTCTGTGGGAAAGAATGATAACTGAACTTTTATTCTCATACTTCAATTCAACATCAAGAAGAAAAAAAGAAGTCTTGTTATTTCAGATCTACAGAAATATTTTTGCAACACTGTAATTGCTCACAAAAACCCCCTGCTCCCCTCATATTTGCTGTTGGGATTGACACTAGTTTATGTCTACTCAAACCATCCACACACATCCCTCTGCTACAATGCCTTGGTACACACTGGGAGTCCAGCAGAGAAAGCCAGACATGCAGAGGAGTAGGAACACAACAACTGAAAACTATTCATAAAAACATTCAGTAAATACAGAGATTAATGTCAAACCCACTTCAAGCTCAGTTTTTATTTCACTATTTCTTAGACTAAACTAAAAGTCTCTGTAAAAAATTTCATTATTCCTTCAGAATATATAAAGAAATCCTATGATCTCTTAGAAAAGCGTGTAAGAAAAACTCCTAATCAACTCTGTTAACACACATTAAAGCTGAGTAGACAGCATGACAAAACACTGGTGTTTCCTACTGCAGAATCTGGTTCCGCTATGGCCCATGGACTGCAGTGCATTACTCATACATGAGCACAGTTTCCACACAGCACGCCAACATCTCTGTGGTTCACAGCACCTTCACTCTTCAAACAGGTTTCACTCCATCCATAATGCAATTTACCAACTTTTTTGCCCTGATACAAACTGTGACTTTTCATAGAAGTGACCCTTTGACAAGCCAAATCCCCTCCTGCAGTTCACAGATGCTGCTGGTTGCTTAGTATTAGTTTAGTAAGTGCAATCCAACTCTAAAACAATGATTTGAAAGTTCTTATTTACTAGAGGGAAGGAAGGTAACATCTCTGCATGTAGGCAAAAGCTGGGAGACAAAGTTCGACTTTGTCCCTTCAACAATTAACATAGCTGCTAATTTAAATAACTTTTAAACATTAGCCCTCAGCCTAGCAGTTTGTATCCATAGATCTTAAGAAGATGCAGAACTTTAATTAAATTATTTGATGGTGATTTTTCCCAACCCGCTTCCCTCTCCCATCATACTGTTAAAGTCTGTTTACTTCCATAGACACCAGCTCCCTGCCAGCCCTGTTCCCCTTTATCCCTTCCTTTTCTCTCTCTCTTTCCCAATAGCGATGACATTCGCAGATAATGGTTTTGTCCGTTATGATCTGCAACCAAGGGTGAAGGTAAAATATTAAGCTGATCTCACGTGCTGATAGCAAATAAAGGGACTGGGAAGCTGAGACTAGTTTTGAATATTTGGAAGGATTTAATGAAATTCACTACTCAAATCAAAGGCATTTCTTACAACGCAGTTCCAAGCTATTACATTTGCTTTAAATGTTTTATGTCTTTTCTTCTTTGCAGCATTAGCAAGACTATCTGCCACCTTGGATGGCACTAGTAGCAGCTCAAAGGAAATAATGAAAACATTTGCCAAAAAGAATTCCAATAAGTAAAGAAAAACCCAGCTCTGTGTCTCTATACAGATTACCTGTAATTCTACTGTTTGTTACATATCTTCAACCCAGATGCATTACCCAGACATATGCAAAACAATTAAACTGCACTTCTCTTGTTTACGAGCCTGATGCTTTTGTTATAGACCTGTCTACTCTCCTACCTTTAAAGAGCCAGGACACTCTGATGTGTACCAGCCTATGGGATGGTATTGGCAGTCTCTGGGCAATGCACAGCTACCAAACAGAGCACAGGAAAAGGAAATGAAACAAAGACATTTGACTTTTCCCAAACAGACCCTAGCAGTATTTCTGTAGGTATCTGTAGATTGACTCAAGAGAAACTATGGAGTTGATAGCAGAAGAGATCTTCTGATCCTTACTATTTTTTTTTAAATGCACGTGACCAGAAAACAGTGACTGTCACAATGATAGAGGACAAAGTGTTCAGCACTCACTATTGCCCAAGAAAAGAAACACTGGGCAGTTTGTCCTTCAGATGTACTCCAATAATGCCACGTAGTCCAGTAAAATGGATAAAAACAAAGCCTTCAAGCCATCTAGTCCCCATAGAAAAGATAACTCATGTAAATGGTTCCAAGCAGCGTAAATTTTTCCTGAGGTGAATTTGTTGGTGAGTGCTAGCTTCAAATATTATTATATGCCACCAAGCATATTCCTATTTCTGTGCAATCCTCAGGCCTAAAGTTGTATAAATGCAGGCAGTCATGTAGGAGGACTACTCTGAAAACTGGATCCCTGGCATCTGAAATTGATACACCACAGAAAGAAAGATCAGGTTGAGATTCACCTTCTGAACCTATACAAAGTAATTGAACTTCTAACTGAAGCATTAGACTCTTGCTCTGAAGGCAAGGACTCCTCACAGGGACTTAATGAGAAAGAGGTTAAGTAGCTAAAAGAACAGACGTGTTCGGTTTAAGATAGAATTGTATTTTAAATCTGTTTGCACTTGTAAGACTTCGCTTTTAATCTCGTACCTCAAATCCTGACATTAAGTTTTACTAAAGAATTGTTTTCTTTGTTATCTTACTCTTAAGCCTGCTTGGCTTTGAGAGCAAGGTAACCTCAGATACCACACTAAATTTTGCATGAGCCACGTATATGGATAGAGAGATGGTAACCTAAGGCTTGACAAGGTCAGTGGAACCTTTTAGTTGATTGAAATAAGACTCGATCAGTGCCCTGCACATGTACAAAAATGGGAAGGGTGGGTGAAGAGAGAGAGAAAAAGGTAAATACACAGGAAAAATGAAACAAGGGAGCGGGAGGTTTAGAGTAAAGAGATTGGGGAATAAATATAATGCACAAGATATTAGACAAGAAAGAAAACAAGAAATGGAGGGAGAGAAAAATCACTCTTTAAAGAAAAGATGTTGCTGTGCTTGGAAGATAAAATGATTCAAAGTCTCCTGTCCATTACAGATAAATGGAAAGACAAGGCCCATCATATCGAATGAATGATGTCAGGACTGATAATAACAGCACCTGGGGCACAAAGAACTATAAAATCTAAAGAGATGCATTGTGTTTGATATGTAGAGAGCAGCATCACCATTCACTGTGCATCTTAAAAGCAGACAGCAGTACTGGCGTAGGATAAGAGTATCTATATAAAAAGAGGTAAGTACAAGTA